ATTAGAGAGCGAGAGAGAGAGAGACAGCATGAGAGGGGAGAGGGTCAGAGGGAGAAGCAGGCTCCCCGCTGAGCTGGGAGCCCAATGTGGGACTCGATCCCAGGACTCCGGGATCATGACCTGAGCCGAAGGCAGTCGCTTAACCAGCTGAGCCACCCAGGCACCCTGTATTTTCATTTTTAGTCCAGAGATAAGAGGGACGGGACATGTTCTTTGTGCATTTGTACTCCACGAGATTTAAAAGCAAGTTCTTTAGAATACCAGTTTGCCACAGGTACTTGATTTATTGATAATATTTGGTGCCTGCATCATGAAGAAATTGTTCTGAGTTTGTATCATTTTTATCATAGAAGAACTTTAAAATCATTTTGATCTCTGAAGGAAAGCATTTTACATCACTATTTTTTTTCCTTCTCCTCTGACTGTGCAGTATATTTTGATAGTGTAGCATGAGTACCTGCAGTCCCTTGTTTTAATATTAAAAAAATTCAATTTTTATAAGAAAAATCTTTTGAGAAAGAAATGTTTCTTATTCACAGAATAATGACAATTTGCTTTTTATCACTTGGTCTCTGGGTTGATTTTTTTTTTTTTTTAATCCCAGTTTAGATAGGAAAAAAATGACGAGAGTGAGAGAGAAATAAGGAAAGATCCTTTATTTACTGTAGCAGAAATGTTTAGTTGTATGGGTTTTGGTCATGGCTAAATAAGGTGAATTTCAACTTTGCAGTACATGACAGACATGCAGTTCGTCTTTGTATGCTTTGTACTTAGACATTCAGTTACATTAATGCTCAGTCTTAGTGAGGAACAGTCTAATAACTTCTGAGAACATCAGGGTTACTTAGTTGTGCCCATACTTGTCCACCCTTCAGTGTCTCCGAGGAAGTATTCATCTTTTCCAGAGCTGATGGAATCTGTGGCCAGGAAATGTTAGGTGGTGATCTTTTTATTCTTTTTGACAGATCAGCTATCTAAAATTTTATTCTCAAGTAATCACGGTATCTTTCTCTTCGCGTAACAGATGTTTATAATTTGAATGAAAATGTGCAGCTATTTCCAGGAACCTTGGGTTATGGGATCCAACTTTTTTTTTTTAAATCTTCGTTGCCCTCTCGTGTTTCAACTCTGTATTACATCAGTTGGCTAAGACCTAGCCATTGTGACCTCCTTAAGTATTAGATATTTTTGCATGTTAGAGAATGTTGTTTTAATTTGTGTGGAGGTGGATTATTTCACTGGATGTTACTTTTCTGAAGATTAGGTCAGTTTCATAGTGCAGAAAGTCACTGTACTCCTGTGTTCTGACTTCTGATCTAAAGAATTGAGTCATCTATCTCTCTGTCTTATTTGAAGTACAGAGCTAATATTTAATTTGCACATAATGAATCATTGAAACTGAGAAAACGCCTAATTAAAAACATAATTATTTTTCAAATATCTGTCAAGTTCCATTCATATTGAAATAACTTGAGGTCTTATGACTGACGTGGAAAAAAACCAAGTGGATCATGGTTTTAATAAGTTGATATTCTGAAGCCTGAATTCCAATTTCAGAATTGTTTTATACTTATTAAAACTAAGAATCATCCCTGAAATGACTTCAGGGTGCATCTCAAAGGTACAGATAATTTCAAAGCAAGTGATGTTTGTTTTTTTTTTCAAAGGCATTCCAAAGGTTGTCAGTGGTTCTTGCCCCACTGTAACTGTAGAATTGACATTAACTGTAGTGGAAAACACCGTGCAGGTGTGCTTAAATATGTAATTATCATCAGTATTATCAGTTTGAGTACATCCTTAGCACTCAGAGCAAGAACAATAAAAGTCTCTCTTTTTTTTTTTTTTGGCTAATGTGTGTATCTCCTTAAAGCATAAAATCCCCACTAGTTTCTGCTTCATGATCTGAGATACTGAGAAAACTAAAAATCTTAAGTCAAAATTAAATATTTTCAGAAATCCTTTTGTTTGTATAAGTTGTGTATCCAGTTGATGAGTCAAATGGCCAGGTTGGGGTAGAGAAAAAAAAGCACTGGGCTTGATCATTGAATGTGGATTTGAGCCCAGGTTTACCATAACTTAGGGCATGATCTCAGGTAAATCACCTAATCTCTCAAGTTTTTATTTTCTATCTGTAAAATGGGCTAATGATACCTAATCTATTTCTAGAATCCTTTGGTGATAAATTAATGAATAATTCATAGACAGCCCCATATGGGTTCTTGTGAAAACCAAATGAGAATGCACATGGGAAATTGTTTAATGTTGGGCACACACGAGAAGTATTATGGCTATATGGTTATGTTTGTGAGCACTTTGAGGGTGAAGGGCCATGTCTTATTTATTTTCATTGGCTGAACATCTAGAAGAGAACTTGGAACAGAGTAGTTCCTCAGTAATTATTTATTGCATGGGTGATTGAGGTCAGGGAGATAAAGTCAGTGAATCCATGCACGGAAGAAGTATCACTGTAGCAGCTGGGAAGCTTACTGCATATTTGATCAGAGTGAAAGCTTAATCACATGGTTGCTCGTCATTAACATGCATTCATCTTCTGTTCATCTTTCATCTTAATATGATTCAACTGGGCCTTTATTGTTTCAGTCTCAACACTTGCTGGGCCATGACCCTACTTTTTCTTCGCTTCCCCACATCTCGAACCAGAAGGGGATCTTTTAGTTCTTCACTCCATGAGGAGCCTTCGGAGGGAGTCGTGCAACCACCCAGAAAGGATGGTGCTGGCTGACAGCGTGACTGACAGGCTGCCCTGGCTCAGTTATCACAGTGCTGATGCTGTCCATTCTAAAGGTACAGTACTGTGATAACTGAAGGATGGCAGCCATCTTGCCTTCCATCAAAGGAGTCCCATCATGCCCAGGAAGGAAGACCGAAGATGAAGTGGGCATGTGAAACAGTGGTGGGGACCCAGAAACCCGCTTCCCTGTTCCTGTATTGTACCTCTCCTGGAACATAGGGTATGTTATTCCCTCTATCTTTGTCTTGTTTTGTAACATGGCGGGGATAAGGAGGAGTTGGGTAGTTGCTTGCATGGCAGGGTGAAGATGGTTGCACTGGATGTATTAAGATCTTTAGAACTTTTAAGATCCTGGTGCTAGATAAGTGCTAAGTGTGAATCAGTATTTCTGAAGAGGTATTCAGAGAAATTTGTGCCTTTTTTTTTTTTTTAAGATTTTATGTTTAAGTAATCTCTACACCTAGTGTGGGGCTTGAACTCACAACCCTGAGATCAAGAGTCACATGCCTCACCCACTAAGCCAGCCAGGCGCCCCCCTCTCCTTTTTTTTTTTTTCCCCTTTCAGTGTTTCAGTGTAAAAAGGTGTTTTTATTAAAGTACAGGGGCAGGAAGAGCTGCATGGGGATTGAGAGGAGCAATTGATTTGCCGTTTTTATAAATGTAAGAGGTAACCTGATTAGCTAGATACTTGTCAACACTAGATGTCCAAAATGAAATTCGACTTAAACAGGGAGGAAAAAAAGCCCTACATGTTGAGCAACATTGATGATATTGCATGAATAAAATTATATCTTTGTGCTTAAGGAATGGATAGGACACATCATGTTTCAGGAATGTAAAAAATAATTTAGAATCTAGTCTAATTCAAAAAATATTTGCTGAATGCCCATGTTATCGTTGCTGTCATCTTTACATGAAAATAAAATGTAAATAATTTTATTTCTATCAAGAATTGAGGACCACTCTGAAGTAACATCTAAAACAAATTGATTTCAGGGAGATAAATCTATGAATACCAATCTAGCATCAGGTTTGCATAAAAGACTAGGCAATTTAACAGAGTGTGCGTCTTTAGCCTGCATCCCACACTGGAGAGTACTGTTTGGTTTGGGGTGGGGTTCTAAGAGAACCCAGGGTTTCCCACATCCTTCAAGACCCCTAGGGAAGCTGTATACATGGATCAGCAGCAGACAAGAATCAGAGTACATGAGCTTACTACGTGTTAGCTCACAGTCTGCTGCAACGCACACATAATCTTACATAGCTTAGGCTCAGTGCATTAAACAGAGACCTCTTACCTCTTCCCAGGTTCATGTCAATATTTGGGAATCTGACTGTCCTCTGGATAGATGACTGGTGTAGGAACCCAAAGCAGTGACCCATATTCTTGGACTAAGAGATGACAGAGCCTGCTGAGGTCAGGGTGTGCCTACCACAGGGTGAGAGGATCCAGGGAAGGAAAAGCCATATGTGTGACCTTTTAGTGTAGAGAGACCTTACCTGCTAATCAGTGCAGCCCAGTTAATATCTTGGACTTGGGCCAAGTATATTATCACATCATTCACTGAGACAGAATGAGGAAAAAGGGGAACCAGAGGTGTGAACAGAGAGGCGAAGCTTTGCCTTCCCATTCAGAGAGGGTCAGTTTCACCCTTCATTGTGTGATCCTCAGACATTGCATTCCGTTGCCAG